AACAAGAAGAGGAGCTCCGTGTCGGCAGGCGATATCTCTACTCCGAGGTCTCACTCACCTCGAAACGGTGCTGAATATCCGTTCTTTCTCAGCACGGTCACTGGCGTCAACGATAGAAGGAGTCATGCCACACATTGTAACCCACAATAGAATGATTCTATTGGAATTCAACTTGAAGACCTATCCACCTGTTACTGCCTCATTTTTCCGGTACGAATCGCGACCTCCCACCCAAAATAAAGTTCAACGATAACGGACAGCTCCACGACACTACCCAGTCAGTTGAATCAATAGCTGAAGATGTATGGTCTACCATCTTACTCCATCAGAATGCATCTACCTATCGAGTGACCGAAAGGACTAATAAACAATCAAAGATTCATATCGTAGCAACTTTTCTCCCGACGTGAGTGTGGCGTTTGACCCCACCACAGCACGGCTTATTTTAATGAGTTTTGCACATATAGGAGTTCGTTTCCTCAGAACTCATCTACACGCACACTCACATTGCCAGTCATTCCCTTGCCCACCAACAGACTACAACTCAAGTCGCTATAGAGATACCACGAGACGCTGAGTTGCTAGAAGTTCTAGTAACACTTCGGAAGGTGCGCTGTCCTCGAGTCGATGTCTTCGAGTCGTCGAAACACGTGCTCGCGTGCGGAATATTCTCTGGATTGTAACCACCATGCTCCCGCCATAATGGAGCAGGAACATCCGCATATGATGCCATTGAAAAACGCCTAGTAGTAACGTCTCCACGACCATCACTACTAACTTGTACAACAAAGAATTCGAGGAGAGGAACGGGAGCAGCTCTATCAGAAACTACTCAAACTAATTTAATCAAACCCTGTCCTCTCAGGTAGCCAAAATTAATGCTTCAAACCGATCTAAAAATTCGTACAGACACACTTGCTAACATCCATCAGGCGGTCCCCTCGAAGGCGGGTGCCATTCACAGTCTCCTCCGTGCCGGTAGTGACGCGTATCTCTTCCTCGCATCCACGTCATAGACGATAGCTCTACCACGGCAAACACGGATCTGTGATAGTCAAGATAGACTTTCCCTCACCTTATGGCAAACCGTCATTCACGAGTTTTACAAAAAATTGGTCAGTGGAAATCTATGGAGCCCGAGACGACATCCATGCAACTATCGCGCTTAGGGGCTCCCTTCCCCCGGATTCCCTTTACCCCCCCCCCCCCCTTCCAATTTAACACTGTGTATAACACTCGAACCAGTGGATCAATGAACACAGACAACTGTGAACGATGAGCATCAAGACCTGCATCATTTGCTGCTGCTCCTGATGGCAGCTCTCAAAGCGTCACATATATCCGAACGACAATAGTGCGAGAGACGGGAAGAAGAGTGTATAGAAATGGACAAACGATATGCTCTACCCTAGTACGACTGACAAACGCCACTGCCTCGTGTTCACATATCGCTCACGCTACTCGCGAAGTGAAGGCCGACACCCCGACTGTTCTTCCGACGGGGTCGCACATTCTCACTGGCCTAAACGGTACGTATCAACCCAGATCAGCATCACCCTAGCTTCCCGTACCCTTCCATCTTCCATAACGTCACCATCCTCTCTAGGCTGAGGAGACTCATCAGGTATACGTTCGTTCTCCCTTGCACGAGCACGCTCCGCCTCTCGCTCTGTCTTGAGGGCCGCCAAGTATTGACCATAGACGAATCTAAATTCCATGACATCGCATAAGGTGTTTGGAGTATCCCGTACATCCCGAGTCCGATGCAGACAAGAATACCACCCAACACTTGATGAGGGAAAATCGGTTCGCCAAGAAGGAAGTGCGCAAAAATGAAGCAGAACACTGGCTGGGTAACCTGAGGTAGAAGGACCCGACAGTAGCAAGACAGAATTGATCATTCGTAAGCTACCTGATAGAGCCCGACCGCGATGGGCCCAAGCTGCTTCACAGCTGCTAATTGGATCCTCCAAGAGATAAGAATGATGAAAAAGACAGAATACAAAACTGCGCCCCAACCTGGAAATCCTAGCATCGAAATGAGGTACCTATGAAAGAGTATACACATGGTCAAACGGGAAGGGACTGTTGCTTGTGACCGAAGGACCCAGGTTCTAGACTCTCACCATGTTCTCGGCATATCCCATCCAAGCACACTAAGTGTGAAGGGTGTCGTGAAAGCGAATAAACAGACGATCTGGTAGAATTGAACCTTGTGAGGAGCAATTCCTATTAACTGGGCTAGATGATCCGAGCATGAGGTCCCAGAAAGGATGAAGCCAGTGAGATTGCGATAACTATTACCGCCATAGCCTCATCGTGCTGAGAGCGACCTTCTGCCCAGTTA